AAAGCGTTCGCAGATAATTAATAGAAGATATAAAGCTTAAAATCCTTTTTGTAGAATTCAATATTGAAATACTCGAATCTGAAGGGAAAATTTATAAAAAAACAGATGGACTAGCGATGGGATCCCCACTATCTAGCATTATATCCGAAATATACCTGCAAAGGTCGCCTGTTGATCTTTGTTTCCGAAAGCCATATTGATGTTCGCTCAAGAGGTTGGAGCCTTTCAAATATTTCAGGATATGGTGGTTTGCGACTTTCTCCATGATTTCTATCACTGATAGCAAAGCGACTGGCCTATAATAGCATTCATTACCCAACAGTTAAAAGCCATCTACAGGGTTAACTAAGTATGTTACAAAGTTACAATTCGAGGAAATGATGAACAAAAATATATATAATGGAATGACATAAAATAATAGAGAAACTATATCCATGAAAAATTGGGATTCAATTTCAACAATATATTCTAGGGAATGAAAATTGATATCTCACAGATTTGAAATTATTGCAAATGCTAAAGATAGGTGATTTGAGGTACAAATTGATTCTGGTCAGTCGGCTGTAGACATTTTTTGTACTTCTAGTTCTAAAATTCAAAGCATCTACATTTCTATGCAGTAATTTAGGATACAGAAAAATTATTTCAGCCAGTTTTTTGCTGGTTTGAGTGGTATAGTAAGAGATTCAAATGGAATAACTGTAACAGAATAGATACACTGAGATATGAAGTAAATAACCTTCTTTGTTTGTGATAACTGCAATGATTAGTATTGTAGCAGAAAATTGTTTTTTTTATTACACGCTCTATATTAGCTTCACCTGTATGTATGTATGTATGTTTGTTTGTATGTAAGTATGATTGTGTGCCTGTAACTCTCAAGCTTGGGATGTGTATTGACAGAACTGTTTGCATTAGTGCTTGATCTATTCGCGAGCAGATGGCGCTATATGTAGCCTACTTGATATTTCTTGATCTATTTGCGGGCAGATGGCGCTGTGCGTAAGTATCAATTATTGCTTAATTTATTCGCGGGCAAATGACGCTGTACCTCTGTAACCTCTTTGATAGGTTGTTCAAAAGAAAATGAAAATAAAAAACATATTTCAAGAATTATGAGTGTTAGCGAAATTTTGTACTACGGATGAAATATTCAGATACTTAAATATTTTCAATTGCCCATGATTTAGTACAGAAAAAAGTTTTGAATGAAACGGGAGATACATTTTGAAATCTAATTCTATTATTTGAAAGCAAACCAGAATATTGATTTCAACAATGAAAATTTTATCACAAATTGTACACCTAAAACATTCAGTTACTTAAATATTTCACAAAATCGAAAAATTAGAATCGAGGTGTTTGACATACATATCATATCAAAAGATTGATTTGAAAAATAAAATTATTCACTGAAAAAATATTTTTAGTCCATTAATATTCTGAATGAAACTTCAAATCAAAACATCAAGACTGAATTGTTTTTTGAAATTATTACTGCTAATTTTCTCTTTACTTCGAATCAAATTTTACAACTNGTTCAATTTCTTTGTTTGTTTCGATGGTTTTTTTTATTTTTGATGTTCAGTTCCTTGACAAATATGTTGTTGGCTTTGCCCTATAGTACCTAATCCACTTTACACGGGGTGCTGGGCAAAGTAGATATTCATTGGATATGCCATTGTTGAAAAATGGCCTCATATCTAATAGTTCAATTAATATCAAGAACAACTATTATCACATTAAGTAAATTCATTGAATGAAGACTTAATATAAATAATCGTTTCAATTTCCCTAATTATAACTAAACGACAATAATCAAGAGAAGAAGCTTAAGGTATTGACGTTGTTCGGGTTTCCCCTATGTAAAATTATAACAATGATATTCATTCTTTAGTTTACTCACCATTCAATTTTGATATTTCTGATTGAGCTAATATCTTTGAAAGTAACTCTACTCACTAGTAGTTTTGTAAGAAATTCTAATTTTATGTTTGAATCCAACCTAAGTCCTCTTTGGGGATATTTTTGTTACTAAATAATTAATTGTTGTATGTGTATTCATTCTGTCACTCCCAGACTCAACAGTTCTGGTACCCAAGCTCACTTTTGTGGTCACATCAGTTGTTATTAACACACACCAACCTCCGTAAAATGTTTTTCTTGGAAAATGTTACAAGATTATAAATTAAGAAATACCTACTGTTGGAAGGTTGCTCCTCTTCAGGTGAAATCCACTTAGGCTCTGGACTTGGAGAGAGAGCGGGCGACTGAATGACAGCTACACCATTCTTCTGCGAAAACTGCCTATCCACCATATTGAAAATGTGGTGTACAGTATAATGTACGCGTTGCTCAAGCTCTACTATAGTGAAACTCTTTGAATTAGCCGGTCACTGAAAAAAGTAACTACTGTTTTGAAATTATTAATTCAAAACATTAGAGTTGATATCTGCATATTGTTGTCACTCCTCTATGGCAGACTTTCATTACACAATTTTGATAGAGAGAGAGAGAGAGATGAAGAATAAAAATAGTTGTGGTACTAAGGAAAACATTTGAAATATCGATTTAGAAAGTTATTTATAATCTATTCACAGCCATGTAGCATAAGTATGTCCTATAGTAGTGCTGAAGACGTACGTGAACAAGCAATTTAATATTTTATAATAGTTTCGAAAACGTTTTGGATATAGTATATTATATACCTGGGGTGAGAAGTGAGCTATCATTTACCTCGGCGCTACGCGCCTCAAGATATAATGTGCGTGGTAAATAATAGCTTACTAAGTATTCGTTTATACTGTAGAAACATTTCTCTATAAATATTTTCTCAGGATAGACGTGAATACCAAATGTTTTCTTTTGTAATTGTTTGTTCCAAAATTACATACCTTGAGGAGTCCGAAGCCTGCTAATGATCCTAGTATTTGTCCTACAAAAAAAATCGGTACTTGTATAAGTGGAATGTGGCCAAGCGTGAAGGCAGCAACTGTCACAGCAGGATTAAGATGTGATCCAGAAATATGACCAAATATCTGAAACAATTTCATAGTTCAATATGAGAATATAGGCTTCCTCGGCAGGAGTCACGAAATCGTAATCGAATGGAACTCGAAGCACCAAACGTTTTGTCTTCTACTGCGGCAGACATCATCAGAGGTGTGAACAAGTCGTTGCTGATACTTCTGCAATGAAATCAAGGTTAATAAGAACGTCAAAAAATTTAGAAAAATTAATGAGGAAAATATAGACAGTATTAAAATTTACCTAATGATGCACAACTTTAATTTAACTTCTGTTGACGTTGATACAATTTATAATGAAATTTTGGAGACATGTGAAACTGTAATAAATAGAAATGCCCCTATTGAAATATGTAAGTACCAATCAAAGTTGCCATGGTTTGACTATGAGATATAT